AGGTTTATTAAAATTAAATCATGGACCCCAGAGTTACGAAATATGGTTCTAAGGTTAGGACCATGTCAGCCAAGTATATATGAATTGGAAAACAAATGTTTTCCTAAAAATACTTCAAACAGAAGTTTTCATTGCTCTTGGTACTCAAGAAAATTAATTGACAATACCTATGTGAATAGGGAATGGCTGTCATACTCACCAAAGCTTGACAAAATATTTTGTTTGTATTGCATTCTTTATAGTKCCAAATCAWATGATGCTTGGATAAAGAATGGCTTCAACTACTGGAAAAATGGTTTAATGTGTATAATCAATCATGAAGTATATGAAACTCATATTATGGCTTCACTAAAAATTAAAKTAAGTACACATTGTTTACCTATTTTACCATCATTAACTGAAGAACATAATCGTCAAGTCTCTTTCAACAGAGATGTTGTAAAACAATTAATAGAGATAACTATATTTTTAGCAAAACACAATCTATCTTTTAGAGGACGTCATGATGAATGCTGAAAAAATGAGTTGAAAGGAAATTTCAAAGATATGGTAGTTTTATTAGCACAACATTCTCCTAMATTATCAGTACACATAAGTAATTTGAAGAGCAATGCAAGAAAAGAATATTCTTTTATTTCATGGGAAAGACAAAACTTACTCATTGAATCTGTTGCTGAATATGTATTATCAGTAATTAAATCACAAATTAATTCTGCTGAACTTTTTAGTATATGCATAGACTCAACATTTGATGTGTCGCATAAAGAGCAACTTTCATTCATTGTTAGATACATTTTTGATGGAAAAATCCATGAAAGATTGTTAGCGTTAATCGAGTCATCAAATACTACAGGTKAAGCACTTTTTCAACAGTTTAAATCATTGATGGAAAGAAATAATTTGGACTGGAAAAATAACCTTGTAGGCCAATCATATGATGGTGCGGCTAACATGCGAGGAACATATAACGGATTGCAAGCTCGAATCCTGGAAATTAATCCTAAAGCTTTATACATCTGGTGTTATGCGCATAGATTAAATTTAATCATATTGTCTGCTGTTGGTTCATGTACAGAAGCGATTGATTTATTTGGCAATTTGGAAAAACTATACAMATTCATAAATTGTAGTAAGAAAAGAGCAGATTTATACAGACAAAAACAATCTCAAATATATCCCCATAAACAAATACGAGCTGTCAAACGGGTTGGTACAACTAGATGGATGTCAACATCATTCGCTTTAACCACAGTATTAGAGACATTGGAAGCAATTTTGGACATGTTGAGTGAAGTAAAGACACATGAAGGTACCACCGATTATAAAACTGGTTCTGAGTGCAGTGGTTTGATCGATTATTTTCAGTCTTCGCGTTTTATAATACCKGCATTCATATTTAAGAGTATATTTGATATTGTTGAACCACTCAGTAAAGTTTTGCAATCCTGTGACTTGGATATACGAGGTATATCCAGAAAGTAAGTTCCGTTTTCTATTTTTATCGCGTTTACGATGTTATCTTAATGACGGTCATATCAGATTATTTCATTTACTCATTTAGAACATTTTAAAACCATTCCGTGACTAGTTAGTGTACGTATGTCACGTGGCGAGTGTTTTAAAATGGATAAACTAATAGAAAATGCCGCCACATGTGAGTTACGATCTGTGATTCGTTTTTTAAATGCAAAGAATATCAAACCAGTTGATATTCATCGTCAAATTTGTGAAGTTTATGGAGAAAATGCGATGAGTGATTCAATGGTAAGGAGATGGGTGCGACTTTTCAATGAAGGCCGTACAAATGTTCACGATGAAGAACGAACTGGGCGACCATCTTTGATTAGTGATGTTTTGGTGCAAGAAGTTMAAAAAAAAATTCATGAAAACAGAAGGTTCACCATGACGTCATTAGCAAAACATTTCCCTCAAATTTCTCGTTCTCTTCTTTATGAAATTGTGTCAATAAAATTAAATTTTCRAAAATTGTGCGCTCGTTGGGTGCCGAAAATTCTTACTGATGAACACAGAGTGAAACGTCAAGGTAGTGCACTTCAGTTTTTGTCACGATACGAAGAAGAGGGAGATAACTTTTTAAGCCGTATTGTCACAGGGGACGAGACTTGGGTTTCTCATGTCACCCCTGAATCAAAACAACAAAGTATGGAGTGGAGACATACCACATCGCCATCAACGAAAAAGAGCAAACAGACACTGACTACTCRAAAAATCATGTGCACGGTGTTTTGGGACAGACAAGGAGTTTTGTTAGTGGACTTTTTACCGCGTGGTCAAACAATCAACGCAAATTCTTATTGCGAGACRCTTAAAAAACTACGTAGTGCAATAAAAAATAAACGACGAGGCATGCTTAGCCGTGGCATTGTTTTCATCCACGACAATGCCCGCCCGCACACAGCAAATGTGACAAAACAACTTCTTGCAGATTTTGCATGGGAACAATTTAATCATCCGCCCTACAGTCCAGATTTGGCACCCAGTGATTTTCATCTTTTTTTACACATGAAATCATTTATGGGTGGCCAGAACTTCA